GGCTCAATGGTTAGCACTGCTGCCTCACGGCACCAGGGTCCTGGGTTCAATACCACCCTCGGGTGACTGTGTGTGGAGTTTGCACGTTCTCTGTGTGTCTGCGTAGGTTCCCTCCGGCTGCTCTGGTTTCTTCCCACAGTCCAAAGATGTGCAGGTTAGCTGAATCAGCTATACTAAATTGCACGTTTAGTTAGGTATGGGGAAATACAGGGGTAGGGGAATGAATCTGGGTGGGATGGTGTGGACTAGTTGGGCTGAATGGCCTGTTTTCACAATGTAGGGATTCTATGATAAATGACATCCTTTGTTCGGGTATTGCAAAAGATGCTCACTGCATTCCAATTGTCATTCCAGTGTTTACTAACCGAATTCTAAATATGTCCAACCAGTTTGAATGGGTGTCCATCATTGACCAGCAACATTGAACCTATTAAAAGGACTGGCATTATTGACATGTAACCAAGTCCAGGGTATACCCAGCCTTTCTCATGAATGTGGGGTGCTGATGGTGATAATTATTTGTCCTTTTTGGCACTCTGGGCACTGCTTCACCAACATGACTATGTCCTGGCCACCAGAACATAAATTCTCACCAACAGTTTCATTTTGGAAACCCTTGGATGACTCTGATGGAGTTCAGCCAATATCTGGCAGCAACATTTGACGATCACTCTTGCTCCCCATAGTGATACGCTGTCCTCTATGGTGATCTGGGACCCTACAGCCCAATGGCCTAAATGTGGACTTTACCAGTTGCAAAATCTCCCCAAACCCTGGCCTCGTCCCATGACCAACCCTCCCTCTCATCCCCGCTTCCTTGACCTGACACAACTTGTCCATCTTCGCTCCTACCTATCTGCTCCACCCATCCCACTGACCAATTCCCATCACTCCCTACCTGCATTCTCCTATTACCATTCCACCCACCTTCCCCAGTCCCATCCCTCCTCTCTCTATTTCTGAGCTGCCTTCCCCTTGCCCCATTTCTGAAGAAGGGTCCTGACCCGAAACGTCAACTTTCCTGCTCCTCTGATGCTGCCTGGGCTGCTGTGTTCCTTCAGCTCCACACGGTGATATCTCTGACTCCAGCATCAGCAGTTCTTACTATCTCTGATGTTGTAGTTATTACAGAGACTTGGTTGAGAGAAGGACAAGACTAGCAGCTTAACATTCTGTGATTTAGATGTCTCAGGCAACATAGAGAGGGATGTAAAAGTGGTGGCGGTGTTGCATTACCAATCAGGAAGAATGTCAGAGCTGCACTGAGGGAGGAAACCTTAGAGGGCTCATCCAGAAAGACCATTTGGGTAGAGCTCAGGAATAGGAAGAGTGCAACCACTTTGTTGGGATTGTCGCACATACCTCCCAACAGCCGGTGGGAGATAGAAGAACTGATATGTGGACAGATTATGAAAAAGTGTGAAAACAAGAGCATTGTTGTGGCGGGTGATTTTAACTTTCCCTACATTTACCAGCAGTCCATTAGTGTCAGGGCTTTGGATGGGAGGTGGGGGTGATGGAGGAGTTGGGATTTGTTAGGTACATTCAGGAGAGTTTCTTAAAGTAATATGTTAAAAAGCCCAAATAGGGAAGGGAGCATACTAGAACTGGTATTGGGGAATGAGCCCAGCCAGGTGATTGAAGTTTCAGTGGGGGTGGGGGAGGCATTTCGGCAACAGTGAACATAATTCTGTATGTTTTAAGTTACTTATGGATAACGATAAAGATAACAGTAGTCCTTGGCTGAAAGTACTAATCTGGGGTAAGGCTCACTACTATTAGGCAGGAACTGGGGAATGTAGATTGGGGGTGGCTGTTTGACAGTAAATTCACATCTAGCATCTGGAGTCTTTTAAAGGTCAGTTGATTCGATTTCACGACCCGCATTTTCCTGTGAAAATGAAGGATAAAGATGGCAAGATTCGGGAACCTTGGTCAACAAGAGAAATTGTGAGCTTAATCAGAAAGGTAAAGAAGGCATATGTAAGGTTTAGGAAACTGAAGACAGACAGAGCCCTTGATGAATACAAAGAAAGCAGGAAAAAAGTTAAACAAGAGTTAGGAGGGCTAAAAGAGCCATAAAATGTTGTTGGCAAACAGGATTAAGGAAAATCCTATGGTGTTTTATACATATATAAGGAGCAAGAGAGTAGCTAGGGAAAGGGTAGGCCCATTCAAGGGCAAAGGAGGGAATTTATACTTGGAGCCAAAGAAACTGGGTGACATCCTTTGCGAATACTTTGTATCGGTATTCACTAAGGAGAAGGACATGCTCATGAGTCTCAGGAGGGTTATTGTAGATATTCTGGAGCATGTCAATAAAAAGAGGTGGTGTTCGGTGTTTCGAAAAACATTAAGGTAGACACTTCCGCAGGACCTGATTGGATCTACCCCAGAATACTGAGGGAGGAAATTGCTTGTACAAAATCTTTGTATCCTCTTTAGTCATAGGAGAGGTCCAAGAAGACTGGAGAATTGTCAGTGTTGTTCCTCTGTTTAAGAAGGGCAACAGGGAGATTCTGGGAAATTACAGGCTGGTGAGCCTTACATCAGTGATAAGGAAATTATTGGAGAAGATTCTTAGGGACAGGATTTAATCACATTTGGAAAACGATGTACTTACTACTGATAGGTAGCTAGGCTTTGAGAGTGGGAGGGCATGTCTTACAAAGTTGATTTCTTTGAGCAAGTGGCAAACATGATTGATGAGGGCAGGGCAATGGACATTGTCTATTTGTTCATTTGGAAATTAGGCAAGGCCTTAGACAAACTCCCATGTGGCAGGCCGATACAGAAGGTGAAGTCATATGGGATCTGCGAGAGTCAGTAAGGTGGATACAGAACTGGTGTAGTCATAGAAGAGAGAGCAGTGGTGGAAGTCTGACCAGTGGTATTCCACTGGGATCAGTGCTGGGACCCATGTGTTTGTAATCTATACGAATGATCTGGAGAATGTAGGTGATCTGATGAGTAGATTTGCAGATGACACAAAGATTGGGGTAGCTGCAGATAGTGAGGAGGATTGCCAAAGGATAGGACAGGATATAGATAGGCTGGAGACTTGGGCAGAGAAATGGCAGATGGAATTTAATTCAGACAAATGCGAGATGATGCATTTTGGAAGGTCTAATGTAGGAGAGAAGTATTCAGTAAATAGCAGAACCCTTAGAAGCATTAACATACACAGGGATCCAGGCGTACAGGTTCAAAGTTAAGGTGGTCAAGAATGCATATGGCATGCTTGCTGTCATCAGTCGTGCCATAGAATATAAAAGTTATCAAGTCCCATGTTTGCAGCATGTTTGAATATTGCATACAGTCCTGGTCACCATACTACCAGGTAGATGTTGGACAGGGTATAGAAAAGGTTTGTCAGGATGTTTCAAGATGTTAGTTAACTATGAGGAGAGATTGGACAAACTTGGTTTGTTTTCACCTGAACGTCACAGGCTGAGGGTCAACCTGATAAACGTTTACAAAAATATGAGAGGCATGGATAGAATGGTTAGTTGGAGTCTTTTTCCCAGGATAGAAATGTCAATTACTGGAGGCACAGGTTTAAGGTAAAATGGGGAAAGTTTAAAAGAGACGTGAGAGGCAAGATTTTTTTTTTTTTTTTACACAGAGGGTGGTAAGTGACAGGAATGTGTTGCCAGAGGAGGTGACAGAAGCAGATATAATAGCAACATTTAAGAGGCATCTCGTCAGATACATGAATAGGCAGGGTATAGAGAGATACATACCATGTACAGGCAAAGTGCTTTTAGTTTGGAAAGGCCATCATGTGTCGCACAAGCTTGGTGGCTGAAGAGCCTATTCCTGTGCTGTGCTGTTCTTTGTTCTAATACAATGAGAAACAAATAAAAGGTGTCTTTAATTGTATTTGAGATAAACATTTTACGAATACAAAAAGCAGCAATAATGTACTAAAAGAAAAGATGACATTTTCACACAGTTTAAAAAAGGTTAAGTTTAATTTGCAAATAACTCCAGTGAAACATCAAATACGGAATCTTTTAATTTTACATAGCTCAGTACAATGATCAATTTATCCACTAAACATTTGGGGAAGCCTATCAAAGGTAGCATTTAACATTTATCAATTTATGTACATTGAATGATTATATTACTATCTCTTGAAAAGAATTCCAATTTTTACCGATGCGCAATTAAACTCATTGGCTTTCTTATAACAAGGTAATATTATTATTCACCATGTGCAAACAGACATGTTTGCAGCATGTTCATTCATATCTTAAGCAAGAAAGTCCTTTGTGAAACAGGTTCAAAAATATATTAAGTGATGCAATAAAGGATGTCATTGGAGTAAAAGAACTCTCTTAGAATTCTCTCCTGTTACTATGTTTCCATGTAATCACTAGACCGAGGGGAAATTGCTGAGTACAGACTAACCACTTTTTTTAAAACTGGGCAAGGAGTAGATTACAAGAAAGTACTAATTTCTGAGAAACAAAGAACATAAATTTCTGGGAAAACTCAGCAGGTCTGGCAGCACCTGTGGAGAGAACGTTTTGGTTCCAGTTACCCTTCTTCAGAACCGATTGTAGCTGTGAAAAGATTGGTTATGTATGCTGGAGATGGTGTGGGGGGAGGATTGAGGAGTAAACAATAAGGTGTCTCTTTTGATTTTTTTGATAACCACTTTTTGAGACCTTGTGGCTAACTATGACTGATAGAGCCAAGTGATGGAAAATAATTCAGTAACATGCTAGCTCTGGACCAGAAATACAACTGACTTAACAAGGTGTAGAGCTGGATGAACACAGCAGGCCAAGCAGCATCATAGGAGCAGGAAGGCTGACGTTTCGGGCCTCGACCCTTCATCAGAAATTGACTTGTTCAGTTGAATTAATCTTGTCACCATCTACTGGAACTGAGGTCTAGCAATATGTTGGCTGCAGGCATTCTCACCGTGAGTACATGCTCTGCCACCTATGTTGTTCGAAACATATCAAGAATTCAAATACTACACTCCAAACTTAAATTGGTAAAACATTTTAATTTGCAGGAAATTGGTGTGACAGAAACAGCATTGATGTTTATCACCATAGCACAACTTTCAAATATCTCAAAACACTTCACATACGATTAATTTCTTGTAAGTGTGAACTCTGTGTAGTCAAGTACAGCAGCTGGTTTACAAATAGCAAACCGCTGCAAGTGACAATGAGATACACGACCACGTAATTTGTTTTTGTCTGACTGGTTGACAGCATATTAACTGATACTCTACGAGAACTTGGTACTCTTTAATATTTGGTGCCATGACATTGCAGCTATATGAGCATTATTTGGAAGTCCATTTGCTGCCACAGGACACAGCTAATCATATATGTCTGTCTACTGTGCTGTGATGCCAATGTTATACTTAGTCTTATACCTTATGATTGAACATCATACAATGATTACTTTAAATTTTTTGTTAAACACTAAAATATCTGGATTACAATATGTAATTACATTTAGAAAGTCAACATCAATAACAGTCAAACAAATGTAACATAAGGTTTATTTAACATAGCATAGGCAGTTGGACTGAACTGCTGACTTGATCAACTTAAATAGCCAAACTACTGTGCTCATGTGTCCATCATTGCTCAATAACATTATGCAGGTTGACTTTATGCACATTATCCATTTTTGTTTCTACTTGCTGTCAATTGGCTTTTATTTTTCAAATTTTCTGCTCATTACAGCTAAGTCTACACTTATAGGCATTAGATCGAAACTTATGAAACTATTTCTAATATTTCTGTTGTGAAGACATTATTTTGCACAGGTTTTCTATTTTATAAGATAAACTATTCTCACAGGGAAGAAGTACTGAGCCACTGGCTAAAGTGTTCAATTAGATACGGATGTACGTCTATGCAGAGCTAACATCATCATATTAACAACAAATTTTGTAATGTAAAGCTGGTATTTCTTTAGACTGACTCATTATGGAGGCTTACCATTCAACATTTGTACTGACTGCACCTCAACATTTTAGCCGTGTGCACCAGCAGTACAGACTTACCATGATCTTATGTCAGGACATCATAAAAATCACTGCCACTACAGGACAACATGTTTTCTGACCCCCTAAAGGTGGATCACATAACAGTGGGTTCCAGTGTTCTAAGTTCCCAATGTTTTAAAATGTAGAAGTTCTAATATTACTAACTACATAAATAGCCAAAAACCAAATAAAAGCAGCTCAAATTAGTACACCGTCTATAACCACAGGGTTGAAAAAAGTTAACAGTATTTAATGGAGTTAGCCAATAATATTGGAAAGTATAGGCTGCTTGCTAACAGCTACTTGATTGTAGAAGATCTCGATGTGTGTGCATGAGAATTTGCAGTTATAAGAGCATTTAATGATGAATCTTAGGACATCCTTAACTTTGGCCTGGATATTGTACGTATTTTTGGTAAGTTGGAAGCCATTTAATAAAGGTGCACAGGGCCTGATTTGTGGATTTCTGCCCCATTCCTGTTTCTGGTCATTTTTGCTAATGTGAATGAGGGGAATGGCAGTGAACTGCACACAGCACTGTCACCCTTGTCAGCTCCATTGTGGGTGGGCATTTCAAACCCTCTGCAATCTTGATGGTGCCAAACCAATTTTGTTAAGAGACTTGGTTCATGGCAACTCAGAGGAGTTATGAACCACAGAGGGAGCCCCAATTCTGAGACAGGAACAGGAAAAAAAGCCATTAAACAAGCTGTTTGAAAACCATTGCTCTTCTTTCTCATAAAGCTGTCAATCAGTCACAGGCAGTGACAGTCCAATTGAGGAAACTTTCAATCCATTTCACACGATATCCACAAAAGCTGTTTGGACAGATAAGCAGGCATCTGTTTTACCAGATGGACTAATTCTTAATACCTGGTTGATCTGCAAGAATGACTAATGGACTCAAACCTCCAGCTATACAGAACAGCTTGCAGGTGAGCGCTACCTTTGTTTTGATTGATATGTTTCGATCTGACAAAGATTGATATCTTTCAATCAATCTGGTTTTTTTTGAAAACAACCTGATCTTTCTTTGAAAAGCTTTTCCAAGCCTGTGACCTGATATGTTTTGCAGTTGCTTTCAGTAGAATTCCCATCCTGAAGAACTTTCATGTGAGATTAGGAGGCACTGGTGGAACTGCAAGGAAGCCCATCAAGCAAGGTGAGTCCTGGGTTTCTTGGATGGGACAGGTTTGGACATTGTAGGAGGGACAGTGTAGGACTATGGAGACAGTGGATATTGGAGCTTATGTAAGGAGGCACAATGTAGGGGTAGAGGTTTGGGGTGCTCCTGATGCACAAAGGACACCTCCAAAAGGATGCAATCCCTCTGCTTCTTTCTCACCTTTTCAACAATTTAATCAGCACCTCAACAGCCATAGCGTCAGGCAACCTAGCGAGTGTCTTTTCCACCCTACTGCACATTATAGTGAGTGGGTCGGAGCAGACAGGAAAGCAGTGGATTACACAATTGATGTATTTTACCTGCATTCTCACTGAAAACATGTCTGCCAAGGAGATTATAAAATTCCCCCTTGTATCCATATTCATGAGATTCAGAGATCTGAAGTAGAGTAAAGCTTTTGTTTTAATGCAATGAAATGTTGTGTAAGATTGACAGTTTTATAAAATTGTAAAATGAGCAGTTTCTATTTCAAAGTAAAGTTTCAAAGCATGTTTGTAAATGAGGTTTGTTTCAGGAACATTTCAATGATTTACCAATGACACAGTGGTTGTGTACTTTGTGGAAAAAAGAACAGTGGATAACGAAATGGGGGATATGGAGAGAGCAAGTGAGGTTGAAGGTTAAAAGACCAGTCAAGATTAGAGCGGAACAGTGTGCCAGCAGATGGAGGTAGGCTTTCTAGACTTCCAACTTTGCCACCTGACTGTCTATGTTAGCATTCATTTCAAGGAGGCTAGAATATAAAAGCAGAGATGCAACACTGAGGCGATATAAGGCTCTGGTCAGGCTGCATTTGGAATATTGAGAGCTGTTTTGGGCCCAGTATCTAGGGTAAGATATGCAGGCGTTGGAGGAGATTCAGAGGAGGTTTACAAGAATGATCCCAGGATACTAGACTCAATGGAGTTTAGAAGGTTGAGGGGGTATCTGATTGAAACTTATAGAATACTGAAAGGCCTGGATAGAATGGATGTGGAGATCTGAGGGCACAGCCTCAGAGCGGAAGACCTTTTAGAACTGAGGTGAGGAGGAATTTTTGCAGTTAGAGGGTGGCAAATCTGTGGAATGCATTGCTGCAGAGGGCTGTGGAGGCCAAGTCACTGAGTGCATTTAAGACAGAGATAGATAGGTTCTTGATTAGTAAGGGGATCAAGGATTTTAGGGAGAAGGCAGGAGAATGGGGTTGAGAAATGTAAGTGCCGTGGTCGAATGGTTAGTAGAGTTGATGGGCCAAATGGCCTAATATTGCTCCTAGATTGTTTGGTCTGCCTATATAGCCAACTTGGATTATTTATAGTCCATGTCCACTTCCCTGGCATGAAAACAGTGCACGTCTATACCTCCAGAATGGAGGCAGGATCATGGGTTTTGGAAAATGCTAGGCCAGTGGGTGTTAAATTATTGGTAAGGACAGTGGAAGAACTTCCCCTTATTCTGCAAATAGTGTAATGTGATTTTCTTTAACAGGCAGATAGGATGTCAGTCTAATGACTCGATTAAAGCAGGCAAAATGTTCACTGTATAATTTCTGCAATGAAGTTAAAAACAACCTTCTGTATCTAAATGTTATATGCCACAGCTGAATGCAAAGAGGGAATGCTAGTCTTTGGGCTGTGTACTGGCACCACCTGGCAATGTGGCAACACCAACCATTATTCCTATTTCCTATACCATCAGATATTGTGGCAAATAACGTAGTCCTTGAACCTTATCCCCAAGACAGCTGGAAACAGTTACTGTAGAACCATTCTAGGAACATATGCTAAACTGGAGTTATCCTAGTGCATGTAGCTCTGCACAAAAGTCCAGCAAGGAGTATATATCCACTAAATCATCAAGCGAGATAAAGCATTTATTTTAAGCTAAATTCTTCAATTAAAGAATACATTTCTGAAATCTGACTAGGATACACTTATCAAATTACATCAACTTAGTTTTGTATCTTGTTCATGATTGTGCACATAATAAATATGGTATCGCAAAATGCAATAAAGATATTTTTAAAAAACGTTTTAGTTGATGGTACCACCACTGGTTAGAAAGTCAGAAGATTTGAACAATAACTCCATTGGAAATCATTTGTCCACAACCTGCACCATTGTCATTAAATACATTTCTTAATTTCTTCAAGCTTTTATACTAACTGAAAAAAAACATACCCTGACCTGTGTCTTGGTTCTTACTGACAATAAATGTTTTTGGATCAGGAATGACAGCAATTCCACAACATTTTAATCAAACATTATTATAACCAATAAATGATATTAGTATTCCGAATATACTTAAGAAACGTGAGTATTCTATTTTACAGGACATTTTTCTTTAATGCTGCATTCCACCAATGTTTATTGTACCATTTGCAGAAGGACCTTTAGGCACAGCCCAAGGCAGGTAACGTGATTCATTTCATAGTCTGACTAATCAAGAATATTCAGTGAAAAGTTAGTCAATTATAATTATTCCCTCGAGGCATTTGAAGCTGTTTGGTCTGTGATTGATGACTTCCAATTTACATGGCATCCATGAATTCCATTCACCCTGTTCAAAGAAATAAGTCCTTAATGTGGATGTAGACCACACAAAAATTGAAAAGAAGTTTCTTATTCTCCTTCTGAAACTGTTGTGTTAACTTTTGCCCGTCCCCCCAAAACAATCATCACAAAACACAGGTGCTCAGCTAGAGTCCATTGTAAAAAGCTGAACTTGCTGTGGATTCCAATATAGCTCTGCTGTCGAGTTATAAGCCAAGGACCAAATATATGGAACAAAAAACTCCTCTGGTTGCTCCTCTTCAACATACTTGAACTTCAGTTCTGGGAATTTCTGTCAAAGAAAGATGAATGAGAAATGAATGACTACATATTCAATGCTTTTTTTATGAAGTTATCTTGGCAAGTCAATTTTGAACCAAATTCATTTCATCCCTTTTCTAGTCTCCAATTTTTTCCTTAGATAGGCTAGAGTAGAAGCAATGCAATTATTGAGCCTTTCAGACAGATTCAAAACAAGCATTCCTAACTTGTATACTCTGTACCGCACCATACATTGCACTCACTCACACAGCTATGCACACATTGGGTTTGACGCCTTATTTTGGGTCGAATCTACATGTGATAAAGTCATTCAACAGATTTATAAAGTCATTCATGTTGAGAAACAGGAGGAAAGTCATGGGTTTGATCTCATTCTCTCTTCACAAACTGTCTTCCTTTAGCAGCAAGAGTCGGCCATTTGGCCCCTTTAACCCATTTCAGCAATTGATAACATCATGGTTGATCTGACTGTAGCCTCAACTTCATTTTGCTATCTTTCACCAATACTCCTTGACTCCCTTGTTAGTTAACAATCTGAGGCTTTTTTTGAGCTCAGTTGACTGGATGGCTGGATTGCAATGCAGACTGACTCCAACAGCATGGGTTCAATTCCTGTATTGGCTGACGTCATCATGAAGGTCCCATCTTCTCGACATTGGCCCTCACCTGAGGCATGGTGATCCTCAGGGTAAACTTACCACCAGTTGCTTCTGTCTAACGAAAGAGTATCTAGGGTAAGCTGAGAGGATGTTTCTCCCCATGGGAGGATCTAGGATCAGAGGACGTGGTTTCAGAATAAAGGGGTGCCAACTGAAAACTGAGATGAGGAGGAATTTCTTCTCTGAGGTCCCTATGGTCCCCTGCGACTATGGCAACTTTACCTGACCTAGTTAACAATCTGACTTTGCCTTAAAATTACTCAATAACCCTGTTTCCATTGCTGTCTGGAATAAAGTTCCACAGACCCATGACTTTTTCTCATAAGGGCAGGCAGAAGGGGTTAGTTTAATTTGGCGTAATGTTTGACACAACATCGTGGGCTGAAGGGCCCATTCCTGTGCTTTTCTGTTCTACGTACTTTTTTGTGATTCATGTAGCAGGATACCCAAATCCCTCTGTTCTGCAGAGGTCTGAAATCTCTCTCCACTCAAATAATATGCCATTTTATAAATCTTCCTGTCGAAGATGACAAGTTCAATTTTTTTAAAGCTCCATCTGTTTGCCCTCTCACTGACCTATTTATATTCTTTTTCAAACTCATTATATCCTCTTGGCAAATTACTTTCACACCTTGTTATTATCCTGCATTTTTTATCTGCAAACTTGGAAGATTTGTTTCGCCCATGGCTTTACTTGGTGTGTGTATTAAACAAAGAAATACATAATATATTGTATACATTATATACAATTTTTCAAGTTCCCAGAATACTCTATATTACTTCACAGCTATTTAATCAATTTTTCAGGTGTCTCAAATATGATATTCAATTATTATACAGTAAAATGCCAGGTGAGATGTGAAGTAAATGAACAGCTACTGTGCTTTGGTGGAATTACAAAGGTGGTGAATGTTTTCTAAGCTAGCAGGAATTCCTGGTCTCCTAACGGCGCTGAGGAAACTTTATGCTCAATATTGTGTTCTTAAGTCCTAAGTATGACATGAACCCATGTCTTTCTGAATTAGCACTCCAAAAGATCATAAAACCATAAGAAATAGGAACAGAAATTGGCTGCTCAGCCTCTTGAACTTTCTTCACCATTCAATAGAATCATGGCTGATCTGACGTTCTTCATGCCCATATTCTTGCTTATTCTCCCATAACCCTTGATTACCCTATTCATCAAGAATCTATTGCCACCTTAAATATACAGAAGGAATCTGCCCCCACAGCTCTGTGGCAAGAAGTTCCAAAGACAATCAACCCTCAGAGAAGAAATTCCTCCTCATCTCAGTTTTCAGTTGGCACCCGTTTATTCTGAAACCACGTCCTCTGATCCTAGATCCTCCCATGAAGAAAAACATCCTACGCTCGGTTCGCAATAAACAACTGCACCTCCCAGTCGCGAACC